GAGTCCTGAAACAAATTTCATCGATAACAGCCCATTCTGATCAAAGCTTTAATGCACAAAGAAAAGAAAAGTACTAACTAATTCTAAATTATTCTCCTGTGTATTACAAGCTGTTCATTAATGATGCCATTTTACAGATGTTCAGAACCCCTGTCTAGAAATGAACACGCAATTTGTCAATTTGAATGAAGTCTATATTTGCTCGCGCTGATGACTTGACGATTTATCCTTTAAGAATATTAGAAAAAAAAAGAAAAAAAAAACGAATCAACAAAGCCAAAAAAGAATCAACAGAAATTTTATACCGGCAAGTCTTCCCCTTCGAGTCCCTTGACGAGAGTTTTCGTTCCTAAAATGTGTAACTAGGATAACTAATTTTCCTAGATAAGGAAAATTATGTCATTCAAATTTCGGCTTATAGAAAACTGATCAAATAATAATGCGATAATTTCGAATTGGTTTTCATTTTATACAGCTAATATTTATTTGTAACGTTTAGATTTCATTTTTAGCCAGCGCGTAACAGAGAACGTGTGGTCTGCACATGCTACATAGACTTCCCTATGATGGTCTGATGGCACTTTAGAGGAGTAATCGATTTTTAAATATCAAATCAGAAAAATTATAATACGCTTTGCGTTAAAAGCCAAAGTCTCTATTAACGCATCCGTCAAACTTTAAGTTGAATGATATAAAATCGAGTTTGAGTTGAGAGAACATGCTTAGGACAACGTGCAATTAGGAATTTGAGACAAATTCAACCGGTGAAACTTCGAGTTGACACTGAATTTTTGGCTTCAAAAGTTGAAACAAAATACTCTCCTGAGATACTTTTTACAACCAGGTCAAATGATTAAAAATATTGAGAAATTAATTGTGTTTTAGAGTTAAGTTCTTTTTTCAAATGAGTTGAAATTACCTTTAAATGCATTTTCCAGCGTATCATCAAAGATCGTTCGAAAAGGTTGGAAGTCTCTAATCGGTGGTATTGGATTTTATCAATAATACAGCGATTCCCTTTATCGTAAACTTGCAAGAAAAGCCATAGAATGGTGTTTTTCAGGGATTTGAGGGATAAGAGAAGCCAGGAGTTAAAACTACTCTGATGCTCGGTCACAAGTCTACTGCCATTATCCTCAAGAACAAACTTTTTTAATCTATTGTGCCATATCCGATAGTCGTGACTAGCGTCTCTTCTAATGGTTATAACTGAATTTTACGCCAGAGAATAAGGGGGGGAAATAAAAAAGGCGAAAGCTACCACCAAATTTTTTGATCTTCGTTTCTTTGCAATCACCTGTTTCGAAGATTTCTGACGAGTTTGGCTGAAGTTTTATGCAGGGTCTAACACATCTACAAATTTAGGCGGGAATGCAGAAAAATTACATGACAGCTTAGTCTAGCTACGAACATGCTAAGAGCTTAGCTTTGCGTAAAATTTGCTAAATTGGTTGAAAATAACTGCCTGTCGAGTAAAAGTTTGAATTTTGAGCGTTTATGATAATGCAATGAACGAGTTGTCAGCACGGATCCTTGTGTTTGCGCAAAGATTGCTGGGATCGCCACGGGGCAAACATTGCAAATTCTTAGAAGGAAATATGCGGCGAAATGTTGTTTCGACGGCCAAAAACGCGATTTTGGAGAGAGATCAACGCTTTTTCGCCAAAGTTTAATCATAATTGGATTAAGATAATGTTGATACGAGGAAAGAGTAAGTATTTGTTAGCGTTACCACGAAATATCTTATAAAATGTACCGATTAACTTCTCTCACTGCGTGAGGTCTATTGTGAAATCGTCATCGCGTAATGGTCTCGACATCTTACGAAATTAGCTATAAATCGCAAAAAAATAACTCACCAAAGTCTTTTCAGTTGTATTTTTGTATGTGCAGCCTGTTTTTATACTTAACGTATTAAAGTAAACATATTACGATGTCTGAAAATATAACTCCTGAAAGGAGAGAAGTCATCGTCAGTGGAGATGAAAATTGTTTTTACCGAGCTGTTGCTCTTTGGAAGGATGAAATAAGCGATGAAAAACGAAAGGAAATCCCTAGGTCAAGTGATAACTTGTCGAGAAATATCCAAAGGTTTTTGAGCAGCCAATTTTCTCCTCGAACTCTTTGGAGGATCTTGTCGGGAACAGCAAGATCACGGGAACTCCGGTAGAAAATTTGGCCATATATTCAGATGTGTATCGCTCCTTAAGCGACCCATTTGTACGAAAGAAGAGGCATAAGAAAGGCTTCAGTTTTGATCCGATCATGAACGCTAATTCGTTCTGATTGATAATAAGAAAGAGGCAATGTAGGTGTTTAATCACTTAACGTATCACGATAATATTTAATACTCAAGCACACCATTTCAATCCCCTGCTGCCTTGAGGTAGCTGTTATAGTGTTTTATTTTTCGCTTGCATTACCAAACCAAGAAAAAAACAGATGTAGACGTAAATAAAACTGAAAAGGCTTTATTGAGTAATTTCTTATCGATTTATGGCTAATATTTCTGAAGTTCGAGATCATTACGTGATGTCAATTTCACTATAACCCTTGCGCATGGAGAAAAGTTGATCACCAGATTTCACTACATATTTCACGGTTGTTCAAACAAAACCTTGCGCTACCCTTGTATTTATATTACCCACACCCATTTCTGATAATACCGAGGCAAAAAAGCGGTGATCTCTTACCAAAATCGTTGTTTCTGACGTCGAAACAACCTTTCGCCATGCAGTTCTTTCTGGCGAGTTGCAATGTTTGCCTCGTGGCGATCCCACAAACATTTGCGCAAACACAAGGATTCGATTACTAGCAAATCATTCATTTAATTTAACGAGCAGTGCCATTTCAGGCTGCACTCAGTTATTAATTTTTTCATAAATGCACAGCGCTGATTTTAAACCCAGTAATCTCGAAACAAGCGTAGTAGCTATCGATAACCCTCCTTGATTGAGACCGACTCTTCTTGCATGCTCATTGATCAGGCGTTTTTGTGATAGAAATATTCTTACATAGGGAAAGGGTCTCTGCTACTTCTTGTCGTTCATTCTACAATTTCCCGTTTTGCTTATGTTGCATTGAAGACTGCCCTTTTACCATTTATCAACATCTCTCATGGTCAGGTTTTCGTCGAGTAAAAAGTCTCTCGATACCATCATGGCTCTGCGTCTTTCTAAACTAGCAGTCTTGTTGATTCTGGTGGGTATCTTCACTTTCCTTATAGATTTGAATAAAGTCATTCAATATTCAGAATACACAGAGTAATTATATCTATTTAGTCAGGTAACCAAAAGGCTTCCAAAATTGAAAGCAAGACAAGCAGCTGTTCGAAGTCTTCAACTCATTGCATGTAATGCACCTTGGCTTTAATCTAATCGAAACTTATTGCTCAGACTTATTGGAACCTCGGCTCTGTAATAAAAGTTTTGACCCTGATAGATCTGTTCTTACATTTTTTCAGTCTCCACTTTTCGGTGTTTTCCAAGTCATGGCTAATGATGTTTAATTTCTTAATTTTTCGCAGAGTTCTATATATCCTGACGTCTCTAGTGAGTTGCCGGGTAAGAAAAAAATTTTGATTTATATTTTCATGAAAATAAAAGAAAAACAAGCAGTTGTGAACTGTCTAATCTAGAGAGTTGCTTGCCGTCCACTTATTTGATAAATTTAAGCAATTTTCTCAGAATTTTCACATAATAATTCGAAAAACGACGCAAGGAAGATGTAATAACAGCTTTCAGCTTTTTATTACCGCTGACTATTAAAGATCGTAAACTTTTAAAGCATCACAATAAGTCTGACACTTCATCCTGAAACAAACACATAAGCGGAATATTACTTACTTAAGTGATGTCTCCATAGACTGATGTTCAGCATCACCGACTTACGAACCACACTATTGACTGGGACTCTGCGCAATGCCTAACCTACAGCACCAACTACTTTCAACGACTGACCCTGGAAAGCTGGTTTACTAACCTGGAACAGACTCCCCTCAACAGGTGTCAACCGCTACTGGTACCATACAAACGACTTATTCACGACATGAACATTACAAACAAACCGAACAGAACGACCTAACTTCACTAACGGATCGAAACCGACAAATCACGACTGACCTACTCCAATTGAGTCTTACAGCCAATAACATCACGGCAAAATTAACCAATCAGTTTATACAAACCGGACTAAGTACATTCGACTGAAAGCAACCTTTCACTTGACTCTGATGATGACTTCCGCTTAGGTTGTCGAAACGTCAGTCACCACTACCGACAACAGTCCTTCTCAGGACTACAATCACCCGGACGATCAAACTACACTATTACATGTTACCCCCGGGTTCAAACCATTTACTGTTTTAAAAAGTAAGTTGAATCGGTGGTAAATAGCAATTCAACCCAAAGAGATTTTGAGTATAAAAAAAAAATATTCAGCCTGATTCTAATTATTTACTGCTGCAACCAAGACATTTTCTAGCCGTCAAGTAGTTACCGTATCGAGAATTTATAAAAGAAGTCAGGTTTGACGACCTCCATCAATACCACAACTACGAAATGAAAGTGTAGGTTGTAAATATGAAAGACGGCAAATCGACCAATGCATGGTTTAGTCTTTATGCGTCGATCAATTCGAACGTTCAATATGCTCCCCTCTAAGCATTTGAACCTTTTAAGATTGGTTCGATCAAATTCTAGCCATTGGGGCCAAAAATGTGTTTAAATGTTAGTTTTTTTTCGTATAAACCAAGATTAGCGACCGTGACTTTCTTGCAGATCTTTTTTTCTTGGCCATCTACTCGTGAAAGTGAACTTTTTGCCTTTAAACACTTCCATATAAAGACGTAAAACACGTTTATTCCGCTTCCGGTTCAAATTCCATCTTACCTAGGCAAGGTTCAAATTCCCCATTCTGCGGGCCGGGACGACAGTCAAATGCCCGTGGTTTGCCCGTGGGAATGTTAAAGCTTTGAATTGATCGGCTCATCAATTTTTTGTGTCAAATCAATTTTTGCAGATTGCTTTAGCAATCCTGTAGGTATTGCTGCTCCCAATATCATCTTTGATCGTCAGATGACAGCATCATCCATATACAATCCGTCCACCAAGGCGGCTTATGGTCGCCTCAACGATGAGAGAGGCGACGGTTGGTGTTCACTTGACGCTAAAAGTAACGCTGAATGGCTTCAAGTTGACATCGGAAAAACAATTCAGGCATGTGGTCTCGCCACTCAGGGAGGCGTACCAAGCGAGAGACGGGAATGGGTAAAAAATTTCAAGCTGGATTACTCTTTTGATGGAGAAAATTGGAAGAATTATCGGGATGAAAATGGAGAAGAAATGGTAAGATTTATACTGTAAAGACACCGTGAGCAGTAGCCGCATCAGTAAACTATTTGATACACGAACTGTTTTATCTAATAGAACAACTGAACCAACAGTTTTTCCTTGTTTTGTTGAACGTACAGGCGATTTCTTCGGTTGTATGTATTCTCTGATATCAAAACTTTTCGAGGTTCCGTTTGCTTTTCGAAGGAGGTCTTTTTTCAGAATAATTCTCTTCCTTAAAGTAATGCAAAGTTCTTTCTTTACGTATTTGTCTCAAAGGTATTTCGAAGGATGGTTAACAGTTCCAAAACCAGCCAACACAAGTTGCCATTGCCAGTATATGCAAGGTACTTCCGATTTCGTCCTACACAGCGTCACAAAAGGAACTGCCTCAGAGTTGAGATTTACGAATTTAAAAGTGAGTATATGATAAAAATGTGCTTGGACTAGTACGCTTCACTTTTTCCTATCAGGAGTGGATTTTCAGCTAAGGCAGGTATTTCCGCTAGTTTGCATGACCAGGCGGAGCCAAATGCAATCTAGTAACTAGATTTAAAACTTTCTGTCTGAAAACTAGGCAATCCCTACTACTTTTGAAGGTTTGTATTTATCTATTATTGTAACACTGGCAGTTCCCGTGGGCAATATGAAACGAACCCATAGTTCCGATTGGCTTCCCAAAAGGGCAAGATGGGCCTTGGTCTCGGTCCATAAAAACGCAAAAAGAAAAAAAAAAAAGGCTCGATCAATATCCAATCATCTTGACCTCACCTTTGGCCAATAACGTATATAGATAAACCTGTACGCACTGACTGAGAGCTGCTTGCATTTGCTGGAGAGAAGAAAGTGTAATGATTACGTGTCTTTACTTTGTGGCATTGTCGACGACGTCGGAACATCAGTTTATGCTACACGCCCATCTGTAGTTGGTCGATAATACTGAGTTTCAATGGCCTTGTTGTCGTTAACTCTGCCAGACGTTTAACTAATAAATACTTCTTGAACAATTCAAAGGGGCATTTCTTCTTGCCAGCTGAGACCTCTTTGAGGTTGCATTAGTAGCTGCGGTTTGACTCTCAATCTATCGCCTATTGTCTTTATTAAACCTTTAGAAAAAATGACAAATTCTGCTCTTGTCGGCTTTGTAAATGTGTTATTAGTAGTCAGCAGACTGTGTTCATGGAAAAAGGGGTTTCCTCGCCCAACTAACCATTGTCCCACAGTGTTTCCTCTTCTTCTTTTGTTAGACTTTGAACTTTGCTTTGCCGCCTCCCTATTCCAAACTCATGAGGCTTCCTTTCTCTCGGTTTTTATGCTTTCCTTGATGAAAATTACTTTTTATCTCTCATAATAGAGTTTGGATAGTTTTTGCTTTGTAAATAAAGATCTGAAGCTGCTTCTACGACTTCTAACGCGTCTGGTTCAAACCGCTTTTCTTCCTCGTCTCGAGGACAGCTCGGCGAAAATAAGGGGGAATGCTATGTTTAACTCTGGTAAATCTTAGCCCTCAAATTCCATAACCTTCTCAAGCTCTGTGTACTTATTTTGGTGCTTTTATTTTCGCTTCCTTGTATAAGTTCCTTGATAGATTCCTTGTCGAGCTCCAACAAAACGGGTAGCCATTATTGCCAAAAAAAATTCTTGTAAATCATATCAAAAACCCTTCGTTATTAACAAACTTCTAACCAATCAGGATCAATATATCATGCCCCTCTTGATTAACAAAAGCGCTCTTGGGATTAAGAAAGAATGCCCTCTCTCTCAGCCAATCAACATTTGACAATTTTGCCAGTATGTTACGGGAAACTTCACAACAGACCATGGCCTCCAATGGGATCCTGATGAAGCATCAGCAACATTGGTTATGATCCTGTGCCCAGGTAAAGCTGATGTACAGAGATTCGTGGGAATGGCTAAGTATCTTTCAACTTACCTCCCTAACCTCAGCATGATCATCCGCCCTCTTACAGAACTCGCCCGTTCTGATACCCCCTTCAGCTGGGCACAGACGCAAGATGGCTTATTTAAGAAAGCCAAACAATTCAGACTCGACTCTCCTATTGCCTATCAAACAAACCTTTCAGTAAAACCATGCCAGTTAAGGCGGCTTAGGCTGAGCACATTTTCAGCCCAATAGAGATCGTGGCCACCAGGCGGTGACTCACTATAGTGTATGACGTAATAAGTCACGTTGTCACCCTTGTCAGTCTCGTATTCGTGTAATATATGTGTCATAGGGGATCGTTTGGCTACACGGCCGAGTTTACATATATGGTCGGTAAATAAATCTCTGTTGCGTTTTGTTCACATCTCACTCATATTAATATTTTGGACATGGAACCACGCCAAACGCTTCACTAACAAATCAAAAACCTCGACACCCCCAAAGAACGATACTTAATGATCGATAGATTGGCTATCTCGACTAGGATAGAATATTACGATCACTTATAATATAGTAATCAGACATAGAAGCCTACGTCGATCACTAACTACTTGAGACCATGATGGAAATTCATTACACAAAGGAGCATCCAAGCTGCAGAAATGTTCACGAGACTGCAGAGAGACCACTTAAAGACCAAATACAATAAAGGCACCTCTCAATAAAGGCGCCATCAGCCATCCTTCTTCTTTAAAGCCAGCAAAGCACTGAGGCGTACATGGGCTGTATCCACAATGAGTTCTGTTTCTGCTCTAATATCCCAGGGGGCAAACGAGGCAATTGCCCAGCAGTAAATTCTTGATACTTGATCTTCATAAACCTCTCTCGCTCTCTTTCTGCTCATCGTCATTTCACACTTCCTCAGCTTCCTTGGCAGCGGTTGGTCTTTCAGCCTCCCTCATTGCTGGAACATGACAGGATCTGAGGTAGACAAAACTTAATAAAAAATATAACTAAAATTTTGACTAGTCGAAAAAAATCTGCATTAGCTAGTGTTAAACCGTTGAACCTAAGAATAGTAAGCCACGTTTCTTTATCAAATTCAAGGAATTATCTCTCTAACTTCCGAAAAAATCGATTGGTTATTAGCCACAGTAAATCGTTTGAGAGCATACTATGTATTGTATTCAATTCGAAGCGAGTTCTTCATATTTAGTAAAATTCTCATTGGGCAGCTTTACAGCTTGGTGCGCCAATGGAATTTGACTGCATTACCTTTTATGTAAACATTTTAAAATACATATTTTCGCAGTCCCAGGATGCCAGGATGTAGAGTTAGGACTTGGCAATGGGTACATCCTCGATAACTATATCAGTTCCTCCTCTGTCCTGAATACCAACACACCTGCTAAGAATGGCCGATTGAACTACACCGGAGGATCATCATGGTGTGCAGCAACAAATGACAGTCAGCCATATCTACAGTTTGACTTTGAGAAGCTTTATATCATCTGTGCTGTGTCGACTCAGGGAAATTCTCAAGGGGATCAGTGGGTAAAGAAGTACACACTTCAGTCATCCAAGGATGGGACAACATGGACAGATTATCAAGAGGCTGGAATATTGAAGGTTCGTTTGTTTAGAATTTTGGGGAAAAATAGTTATAAGAAGTAAAACTATGAATGAAAATCATCCTCGCTGTTTAAATTTACTCCCTTGGGAAAGATATCACTAACTCTCGTAAATAAAAGTCGAATCCGCTCGCAGCCATCTTCGTTTTTGCATTTTATTCAAAATGAGTGATAAAATGATTATTTGGCTCTACATATCTTTTTTAAAGGAAATCCGTCCTGTTTCGAAAGATTCTATACACAGGTTTAGTACAGGTTCACCGTTTTAATTTTTTTCAAGCAGATCACATCAGTTGCTATTTTACTTATGCTGATAGTTCTTACTTCTACAGATCTTCACTGGAAATATTAACCGAAACAACACAATAAAACAAATTTTGTGCAACGGGATTTTTACCAGATTTTTGCGTATAATTGCCCAAAAACACCACGGAAGATGTTGTATGAGGGTAGAGATATTTGGAACACCGCTGACACAAGGTAAGGTTGCCTAGCCTGGTCATGTCGATGAAATGGTCAACAATTAATTTTGCAAGGCCTCGGAAAGCTCCATCAAACCCCTGAGCTTAGATAACTGACGTCACATTAAATTTAACAGATGCGGTAAATGGCAGTTCCCAAGTGAATAGAGTTCACAACCTGCAGCATTTCAAAAATAATAGATTGGCCATCTCTTAGGCGTAGCCTGAAAGCATTCTAATACAAATGGTTGATATTTTAAAGCAAGAAATTATACTGTCAAGAGATTAGAAAAAGTTTATAATCTCCTGACATAATCTCTGCAACCTTAACTATCTTCTTGTTTTAGAAAAATCAGAATAAAATCGAGTTTTCTTTGTCGGTTAAGTGACGTTGTATGTATTTTCAGACAATCTGGCCCAATGGAAGCCCACAAGTCAGTCAAATATTTTTAAAGAGCGTTTTGCTAGTTACGCCGTCGATGGACTTTACACGGATTTAGGTCCTTCCTGTACTCACACAAGAAAGCAAGGCACCACTGATCCGTGGTGGAGAGTCGACTTTGACCAAGTGCAGCCTGTTTCACAGGTTTTCATACTCGGTAGAAATAAGCATGTGAGAAGATTAAACGGTACTGAGATAACAGTGGGTGAGTACTCATAGTTAAATTGTTACTTGAAGTTGAGTTCACTTGGGGCTTGAGAATGTTTTCAAAATGTTTTGAGTTTTCCCCTATTTCATGACTTTGTCATTGGTAAGCCTGTAATAGTATGCGAATGTTATTTACGAACGCACCATCAAACCTTACGTGTTTTACCACTTCCAACCGTGTCGCACACCTCCTAAGCAAAAGAGGGCTTCAAAATGTCCCGTTCTTGGATTGTTATTGGCAGATTTCGATCTATTTTGCTTGCTTCTGCCGAAATTTCGTCTGCACAGTCGTGCGTTTGTACATCTCTTATGTAAATGCTGTTCTCATGGCACTGAATAAAACAAGTTTGACCTCGAGCTTCAGTCATGTACTACATGAAAATCTTCGTGTTGTAATTTAAATGATCACTAACAATCAGACTACTAGTAAATCTTCTTTAATGTTTTGTTCACAGTTCATGAAAAAAAAATACCCGTTTGCCTTATAGTCCACGTGGTACAGTATAAGAGTACAGAATCCTATTTGTCTTACCATTAATGACCAATCGCGGTTTTATGTCTCACTGATCTTTTTAACTTTAATACTTTAAGGAAATGAAACCTCGAAAGGAGGAGCAACTAACAACATTTGCGCCCGTGATGTTCTCATGTCTCAAGAACAGGGAAAGTTTTTTCGATGTAATATGACGTTGTATGGCAGGCACTTATTCATCCGGACACCTGGATCATTAAAAATATTGGCCTTATGTGAAGTTGAAGTTTTCTCCTCGCTTAAATCAAGTAAGACTTGTTACATAATGCCTCACAGAAAATTGTTCTTGTGTCGGAAAAGTACCCTCCATTAAGTCCAAATTTTGAGTGGGATTGCTATAACTAGCATCCGTCGTAGGAGCAAGTAGCGTCGGCTTATGTCAGGAATTCTGACCATCAGATTTTCCGTGAATCTATGACTGAATAGTCAAAAAAGTAACAATACTCAAATCCTTCTCGTGTTTCCATGTTTTCTTATTCTTCTTGAATTGATTCATGGTGGTTTTAGTAATAGCTCTTGTGGTATTTATGTTATCTTTACTACCTAGTAATTATAAAGCTTGTTAATTTCGCAACTGCGTTCATTCCTGGACATCACTTAATTCAGTAGGCTGCCGGACACATTTATTTGGGTCCATATTACCTTCCCTGCCTGTTTTATTGTGGCTTGCAAGATCTAATGAAAAAGGATAAAAAAGATAGGAAGGAGGAGAGAGGCAAAGCAAAGAAAAAATATCTACTCAGTTTTACTCAAGTTGTACCTCAGAAGGTGGCTCAATTATACAACTGTGAGATTCCCCATTTCAGCAACTACTAAGATTTCAGTAGGAGCGCTACATTATACCTGAATCTCAGTTTACAAGTAATACAAAACATTTATGCTTCTTTAGTAAGTTGCTTTTCTTTCTTCTAGATCTTGCCTTGAATCAGTCTCCTAAGCAGTCTTCCACATGGACTAACATTTTGTTAGATGGAGATACTCGTTCCTGTGCTAAAGGCAGATTTCAGAAGGACCACTGGATGAGAGTAGACCTGGGAGTATCGCGTGTAGTAGCTAAGGTTGTTATTAGCTACAAGAATTGGATTTATGGCCTTGAAGTCTGGATTGGTGAGTTCAGGAAAATGCGAAGGAAAGCGGAGATCAAATATGCAGTTAAAAGTGACTTGTCCTATGTCCATTTCCAACAGGTTATGACAGTGGCAATAGAGGCAATTCAAACTTGCATTGTGGAGGACAGGATACTTCCGAAACAGCTTTTTACTCGATTATACAACGGACCATTTTTTGTCTTCCTAGGCTTGTGGGAAAATTTGTTTTTATTGAAGTTTCCGATGCTGACAAAACTCTCAACCTATGCGAGGTACAGGTTTACTCCCAAAGTTCGACAAGCATGGGTAAGGAGGTGTCTTGTCAAAATTTCATGATGATATAGCCAGGAGGTTTCACTTCTTGCTTTTTCCTGAAAAATGTAGGATTTCCTTTACTAACTGAATTAACAATTTCACAAATAAGTCCTGATAATGGCATCCACCCCCCTCACACCCTCGCTCCCTGCCCTTAAATCTATGCTTTCAGCGAGTAGCAAGTTCAATATGGCGTACATAAATTGATCATTTATCAGGGTAACATGCAAATAGGAGTGATTTTCATTAAAAAAAAAAGCCATCAGATTTTCGCTCAATTTAAGTAAACATTCTATCAATCCAGCACTTTCATGCTCTTGAAGGCACTAAAAAATTTGAAATGTTAGCTAAAATGAAAAAAAAGAGGAAGAGGTAAGTGTACAATCTCACTTAAAAACCAACATCAACTTCAATTACAAGTGGAAATGATATGCTTGTCAATAAACTGTCAAATGTGATAAACAATGTTCATGAGTAACATCGACATCACAAAAAACGTTAAGTGGTAGCATCTTCCATGATCATGAAGAGGGTCAAGGCAAGGTAAATGTATGAATATGTTCTCATTTTAGTTACATCGAAATCTCTCCGGGGAAAGTAAACTATTTTAAGTCGTACTACATTCTTCTCATTCTTTTCTCTATCCCTGGTACATATGTGAAACCTTTCCACAACGGCCACCTCAGGAAGATAGGTAATTGTTCTTTGGAGAAAAAAAGGGTTTTACAAAAGATGAGGCCGTCGATAGGGACTCGACTTAACGATGTTTGCCTATTCTTTGTTACTTATTTTTTTCTGAAGCTTGTCAGACACAAGCAGTTGAGGTGGCCAACACAAATATCTTCCCAGAAAAAAGTTTCTCAGCGTCATCATCCCGTGAAGGTGATGAACCTAACAACGCACGCCTCCGGAGTGGCATGGGTGCTTGGTCCCCTAGGGATAATAGTAATGCTGATGACTACCTGGAAATTAATCTTGGAAACGTGTTCTTCATTTGCGCTGTGGCTACTCAAGGAAGTCCACATCACGAAGAATGGACCAAAAGTTACAAGCTCTATTTGTTCCTTGAGGACTGGATGATCTATGAAGAAAATGACACGGAAAAGGTCTGACTATAGAAAGTAGAAACTATAGAAGTACTCTCTAGTCTCTCTGTGACATGGTTGTATGAGATAACGGTTCAATTAGCAGTCTGTATGTCGATCACTTTAGTCAAAGGTAAAATTTATCCGTTAGTGAAAACTGTATCATTCATCTTGCACTTAACTGATAGTTGAACGCAACTGTGTTTTAGCCATATACTTTGAGGGGTATTCTCTTGAATTTACATAAATACTTTGATAAAATCCACTTATATGACAACCATTTTTATTACAGATTTTCATTGGCAACTCACACAGGAATGAAATAGTGCAACATGTTCTGGTAGAGGTGGCAAGAGCTTGGATCATTCGGTTCCAGCCAGTTGACTATCATATTCACAAAGCTCTTAGAGTAGAAGTGTATGGAATAAGAATACCTGCAGGTACGTCAGTTTTGCATCATGTGACCATCGTTAGCCGTAACATTTTAATTAAAAGCATTATGATGAAGATTTTTAGGACTGCACTGATCGTGTTATTTTAAACAGTATCCTACTTTTCAAGCTATGAAAACACCTGCGCAATGAACACGTACGACTAATCGTTGTCTGCTGGATATCTGAGCGGTTCGAAATATGGTCGGAAGGTCAAATCTTCAGATTTCTTTCCCGATGGCGTTTCATTGCAGGACGATCGTACCAGAAGTTGACAAATGTAACATGTATTCGGTGGAACGATCTTAAACAGCCAAAAAAGTCACTCATGAATTTATATATGATGAATTTTTGAGAAAACCGATCGGGTTCGGTTAACTGATGTGAGTATGAATTTTAGACACCGTTTGCTTAAGTAACTAATACAATAATGAAAAAAAAATGATGATCTTCAATAAAAAGACGAAAACTTGCTCGTCAAACCCGGGATAGGTTTTTAAAACAATTATCATGTCATTTGTCGGTAAGGCGTGCATTAAACGTGAAAACTACGCAAGCGGGCCGGTATTTTTGCCATTTCGATCAAACAAAAGGACGTGGGAGCGTGAAAAAAATATTAGTTCAACCGAACGGAGAAATCGTACACATGGCCAGAAGTACATTTATTTCAATATTTGTTTTACAGTAAATGGTTTGAACCCGGGGGTAGCATGTAATAGTGTAGTTTGATCGTCCGGGTGAGTGTAGTCCTGGGAAGGACTGTTGTCGGTAGTGGTGACTGACGTTTCGACAACCTGAGCGGAAGTCATCATCAGAGTCAAGTGAAAGGTTGTTGTCAGTCGAATGTACTTAGCCCGGTTTGTGTACACTGATTGGTCAGTTTTGCCGACAATTCACTACGGACAACAGTTTACTGGAAACCGACACATACCGACAGATTACTGGACGAGTCGTCCTACAACCCGACATCACACAAAGCCACTACTACCAGGACTCTTACCCGCCGAGTGCAATTAGTATGCAATACGATAGACAGCTTATTTGACGAGAACAAGTACCTTAACCGTGTTTTTTCAAAGGACAACTACAACGAAGACTTCATCCAACGTAACACTCACCTACTACTACTACCGAAGCTAACGACAGCGCAACTCCTACGACCACAGCCACTATACCATACATAAAGGGCATATCTGAGAACATCTCACGCATCCTACAACCATTCAATATCCGCGTCGCTCACAAACCTATTACCATACTACGTCAGTTACTGACTAACATCAAGACAGAGACGAACCGAGGACCAGACAAGGAGCAATATATAAGATCAATTGCTCCGACTGCCACGCCTCCTACATCTGTGAGACTGGCACAAACCTCACAACTAGACTGACTGAACACAAACGAGCGACGAGGAAAGGCGATGTCAACAATCGCATCGCTCAACATCACCGACTTACGAACCACACTATTAACTGAGACTCTGCGCAATGCCTAACCTACAGCACCAACTACTTTCAACGACTGACCCTGGAAAGCTGGTTTACTTACTTGGAACAGACTCCCCTCAACAGGTGTCAACCACTACCGGCACCATACGACCGACTCATCCACGACATTAACATTACAAACGAACCGAACAGAACGACCTAACTTCACTAACGGATCCAAACCGACCAATCACAGCTGACCTACGCCACTTGAGTCTTACAGCCGATAACATCACGGCAAAACTGACCAATCAGTGTACACAAACCGGACTAAGTACATTCGAATGACAACAACCTTTCACTTGACTCTGATGATGGCTTCCACTCAGGTTGTCGAAACGTCAGTCACCACTACCGACAACAGTCCTTCTCAGGACTACAATCACCCGGACGATCAAACTACACTATTACAAATATTTGTTTTATGCTGGCTTTTACTCAACTTAGTCACATTAACCTGTTCACTTCTGATGTGTGCTTTCTGTCGCGTTTATCATCTCACAGGTTCACCTACACCTCCTATCATTGAAAACCAAGAGCAGGAAATATCGTATCCTAATTTGTCCATATCATGGAGTTCTGGTGATACTAGCGGCTGTCCAGTTACTATGCACACAGTGTACTACAAGTCCATCAAACTGCGAGAGGAGGGAAATACTTGGAATCGTATCAATGCCTCTTCGAGTACGAGAGAGCTAAGTGCCCTACCACTTGATTGTGACACAGAATATGAATTAAGAGTGTCTGCATGGAATGAAATGGGTGAAAGTAACCGCTCAGAGTCGTGGAAAGTGAAATCCATTACAGGTATTCACATCAATTTTTTTTTCTCATTCTATTTTTGCCGTGATGATCTCAAAACGATTGTTATCAGTTACAAAAATCATTGAGCTCAACCACAACATATCCAATGTAAAAAAGGCTAGCTTGTGAGGCCTGGAAGACAGAGCCGTGGAAAACTCACCACCACTCAATTTTCAATTGAAAAGTAGACGACTGGCTGTACAATCCGTCGGTCAGATGAACGACAATACACAAGAGGGTGGTAAAGACGATTCTGTCTTGCGCCTTTCTATTTTCACCCTTAACCTTTCCAAATTTGGTCGTTGTCTTTCCCGTCCAACCCTTTGTTACACTCACAATTCGAGATTGACAAACTCCTTTTTTTGCTTTTTTTTGGTTCTGTTTGTTAGTCTGTATATTTTTTAGTTTACTTGTTTGTTTGCTTTTTTTCCTTCTTCTTTTCTTAGGGTACCCAATCATTGTCAACAGGACCAACCAAGTGGTAGGGAGTCTGGTGGCGATCCGTTGGAAGCCATGCACTGCTTCTTTATTCACCATATACCACAGAGAAATACTTCCAGAGGGTAAAAGCCTCTGGAACGCAGTGAACGTGTCGGGAAATGAAACAAGTTATGATCTTCATCTCAGATGCCGAAGGGACTATGAAATAGCTATAACAGCTTGGAATTCTACAACAGAGACGCCGCTGATTGCATCACTAAATCACAGAAGACTGTGGAGCGTTAGGACCTTGGGAGGTAACTGCACTCATGCTCCATATAAAACTCCTAAAAAAGACGTAAATTTGCTTAAGAAATATCTTTCGATGCTGGTGAGATATTTTCATTGTCCAGTAGCTATGTGTGTTTTCATTCCTAGTGTCTTCAATGAGTAAGACAAGTACCGCAGATATACACTTTTTGGTTGTTTACAGTACATAGTAGAAGCTTCTTACTGAGCCAGAAACGTATGGTTTGGTCAAGGGAAGTAGCTGAAATCTCGTTGTCGTATTGATATTATTTCGTTGGCCGTCTGAGACAATTTGGAGTATATCTATTAATTACGTATTTTGTTTTAGTAGTTTAGACCACGAGGAAATGTTTGACCACTTTACCTAAGCGAGAGTGAGGTCATGTTTTTACAAATGCTTCTAGCAGGCTTTTGCTAAAGTGTTATCGTTCCATATGGCCCCAGGTAAACCGTCATCCCCGATTATAGACGGCAGAGGTGTTCAGTTGTCCGGTTGTGATGTGAGCCTCAGATGGAATTCCCCACCAGATAACGGCTGTCCGCTGACCTTGTACACAGTATACTACAGAGAGGTGCAATCTACAAGCGAAGATGGCTACTGGCATCAAATCAATGTTACCGTAAATGTTACCTCAGTGGATCTCCCCTCGCTCAAGTGTAACACGGAATACGCTTTTAAGGTATCTGCTTGGAATGACTTGGGCGAAAGTGAGGCCGCAGAGAGGTTGGAAAAAACCGTACAGATGACTAATTTTATTGGACGCATCCTGACCATTGCTGTACCTGTAGGATGCGGGTTCCTCATTCTCATTACTGCGGGAATCCTTTGCTTCAGACAGAGACGAAAAAAGAGAAAATTGCAAGGTCTGAGGAGTCGCAGGTTGGGAGTAGGTTTATCTCTAGAAATTTTTAAGCTAACGCAGTCCTGACGTGAAAGCTAGGATTGAGCGAATACAAGCACTCTTAAAGAGTAACTAGTGTTATACACTAATCCTTTTCCCCATATAGTTGCATTCAAAGCATTCGTCAAGGCTAGAATCGAAGTCTTGTGCACATGGTAACATTCATTTGACATGCCGTTCCCATGCGTAAAAGTCTTGAGCTGCTTCCTTAATGCTTGATGTATACGAGTATGTTTGATATTTTAACAAACAAAAAGAAAAAATCCCTACAATATTTCTGTAGATCGAAGTCAGACATTGTTCCCCTGCTGTTAAAAGAGATTTCCCCGGAACGTGTCACAATTATGGAAGAGCTAGGCAGGGGAGCATTTGGAAAAGTACACAAAGGAATCCTGAAAGAAATGCCGAAGGTTGAGGTATTTTTTAAGCCAAAAGAGGAAAGAGTGGATTTTAATGAAGGAAGAGTTGTCGCTGTAAAACTCTTGCATAGTAAGTACAAATTGATATATTCGGTTTTTGTGACAGTACGAATGCAACATGAACACTTATTGTCCTGTTCAAAATTAACTTTATTAAATCGAAGTGTATGGTTATCCTTACCGACCGCTTTTTTTTCTTTTTTTTGTATGAAACTTACAACTGTGGAGCCCCTGATCGACACACACACACACTCAAACGATTTGCCTAAGAAACAAAGACTCAGAGTAAAAATGTGATGTTCGTTTTACGAAAATAGAATTTGGCTCATAAGTTACAAAGACTATTAAGATTAGTTTAAATTTTGGAAGGATCAGTGAATTACTGGTTTGATTTGTGACAATGACTGTCCAATTGACAATTTCATTCTTATCTGTGTTAGATACTTAATGATAATTAGGTAATGATAAACTTCAGAAATGTAGTGAGCCGAACTCTTTTTTTTTTACTTGCTGTTTTACCACTTCCCTTTCAGAAAGAGGCGATGTAGATGAGAAAGAACAGTTTCTCAGAGAAATTTCGTTTGTGCAGCGTATAGGTAGTCACAGGAATTTGGTAAGCATGATTGGCTACTGGCACAGATCAGAACCCATAATGCTGATCATGGAATATGTTCCACATGGAGATCTTCTTCAGTGGCTGAGAAACAAAAGGCAGCAGGTAAAACTGTTTTGCAGACTTAGAACTTTGGTAAAAAATATTGATCAAATGGAGGGTTAATTTGCTGCCAAACAAATTGGAGTGGGTAACAAAAGGTTATAAGTCTTTTAACTTTGGGATAAAAAATGGCGATCCATAAACATGGAGTCCTTAGGAGGTACCCATTTCAAAGAATACATTTCTTTTTTTCTCTCATGAAAGAGCTTTAGCAAATGCTAAATTGAAATTTCTCACTCGTAATCGCTGATGATGCCGGTCAGAAAAAAATAATTGAATTGTTCAGGTTTGGGTTATTTTTCTAGATATGCTCTCAAACTAAAAGATCCATGGAGTTGTTTACATGAGACATTCTAATAATTTTAGGTCAAATGTAGAAACGGCATCGATGGTGTTATTTTTGAATCCATGGACGATTATAAAGACAGCAGTGCAAGTTCAAAAGAAGCTGTCTCAGCTGATCAGTCAGAGGACGTCGTAGACTTTCACGACGATTTCAGTAATGGAACGGAACTGACGAGTGTGGCGGAATTTACCGAAGCTACCAGCAACCCAGATTTCATTTCAGTTATTATTAAAGAACAACCGCCCACAGAAGAGGAAAGTACTGACACAGAAACAATACAAATGAAAATTTCCCAAGCTCATTTTCCGTCTGGCCACGAAGAAGGGAATCTCGCTACTCCATTTAAAAGTGCACGCCCCCTGCCACAGCCACCAGAGAACACAGAGGAACAACAGGAAACGAATGGTGATGGTGAGCAGGCGGTTGACTTCACCGTAAAAGATGTACTTTGTTTTGCATGGCAGATAGCAAATGGAATGGTAAGTGCTTAAATTTAAAAATATCTGTGATTATTGAACTGAATATTACACGCAAACATTTTCCCCAGTCTAGGAAATAAACTTTCTTCTTAACATCCTAACGCCGAGCTCATGTTACATGAAAAAAAAAATAACAAAAAAAGTCATTCCATGAAAATAAGGTGGACAGAAAGTCAGTTAAACGTGCTGCTTGTAACTCAGAGACAATAAAATTTTAAACCTTGGAAAAATGCTTAAACAGATCTTTAACTACATGCTGCATAAAAGCGTCAAATGATTAATGATACACGCCAACAGTCTACTTTTATCATCATCAATTTTACTGATAGATCTGTTATCTGACAGCTAGAGATGAATTGCTATCGGTTTATTAGTGCTCTCCTTTTCACCAACGAGCGAATAGCAATGAAAGAAAGAAATGGACGCGCAGGCTAACTGCATAATTTGGAATTGTTTTGGGTTTCTATATAAACAGGAGTACTTGGCCAGCAACGGATTTGTTCATCGTGATCTGGCCGCTCGTAACATCCTTCTTGGTGAGGACAGAGCTGTGAAAATTGCTGACTTTGGCCTGTTACGTCACACATACGGGGACATATATGATGTAAAGAACACGAAGAAACTGCCAATCAAATGGATGGCACCTGAGTCATTCGGCGACGGCATATTTACATCTAAAAGTGACGTGTGAGTACTAAACGTTCTTAAACTACTCAGAACAAGATCTAATTTATTATCTTTTTTCCCGCTCAATTATGTTTTCAATGCTTGTCAGTGAAACGAGAACATCAACTGACACCCTTTGATACTACGGTACTTTAAGACCAGACTACCTCTCTCATTAAACTAAACTATTGTCTGATGGTAGCTGTTTTCAATTGATTTCCGAGGCACCATTAGTGCGAAATTACTTCAAATAATCATTTTCGTCTTCTTTCCTTCGGTAGGTGGTCTTTCGGTATACTTATTTGGGAATTGTGCACATTGGGTGAGTAATAACGTCTGATTCATAACTACAGAAGTATAGATCGTTTCTTCTCGAAATGGCATTTTATAGTAAGCATTCTGAATTTGAAGGCAAGATCTGTCCAATGGATTATGATTGTCTTGACTGGCTCAGAGCCTTGTCCCAGTCCGTCCCAAAAAGGGCACCTGATTTATTCCCAGATTTCATCTCCAAAGAATACCTTTAACTGTACCAAATCAGGGACGGAGGACTGATCGGACATGCTCTCGGACCCCGATAGACGCCCTCAACTACAATGCTCGTATTTCGTTTGTATATAAATTCGTTTCAGCAGCTAAACATCTTTTTTCCATCTGTGGAGTATCTTACGTAAAAGCCAGCGCCACTTGAGTGGTTTAATCACTAGTGTTTTAACACGTTAGACTTAAGGTCATGTAGCTGTGAGGCTTTTTTTAATGAAGGAAAAAGGGGGCTCAAAGGAAGGAATACTTTAGATCAACTGACTTTTGAAGTGCAAATTACTTGTTATTTTGTAGCCCTCAGAAACTCAATACTTCTAGTTTCAAGGGTTCTTATTTTAGCTTAGTTTTTGAAAATTATCTTAGTTAAAGACTATTTTTTGCCGTCTTCAAAATGAATCTGTATCCAAGGTGGCATCCCCTACCCTGGAATACGCAACAGAGAGTTGTACAACCTTCTTAAGTCAGGATATCGAATGGACAAACCAGGATTATGTTCTGATGAGCTGTACGTTCAACAATATTTTTCACCTATTCTATCAACGAACAAATAATTTACGTGTGTGATACTCCCCCCTCACCAAGAAACTCTTTGTTAAGTTCGCCTATCTCAACTGCGTGACTTAATCCTTCTAGAAGTCATCTGTAAGGTTTTGTTTTAACTTGCGGTCTAGCACTAATAAATTTAATAATCAAGAAAATGCAACTCAGCCATTATGCTTTTTTCTAAGAAAACAGACAATTGTGGGAAGGAATTAAAAGGCCATTATACCGTGCCCAGAACCTCGACGCCGCTGAGTAAAAGTAATCTTAAGGGGAGAATTTATCATTTCTTGAGAGGAGTATGTCGTTCACACGTACCGTTTCTCAGTGAACTGATTTGTCTTGTCGGGACAACTGTTTGGTACAACTATTAAAACGCTTTTACTGTGCAAATTGTTTTAAAGCCCACATGACTTCCTACTTGTACTTTAGTCGGGATTGTTTGGGAAAACAGTAACTGAATTAAAAAATTATCACTTAATAGTTGTTATTCCTCTGTTTATATCCGAATACATTATATAACCACAGATACGAGTTGATGTTAGACTGTTGGAAGGCAGACCCGGAGGAGAGACCATCATTTGAACAGCTGCTAAAAAGAATGGAAGAAATGATGACGAGGGACGCTCCTTACTTCGATTTTAATAAAGACTATAAAAGTGATTCTTCCGACTCGGAGACAAAACCCGACAATGATCAACTAAATGAATGATAGTGGTTTAGCTGGATACCACAGGTTTTCACGAGAAACATGAAGTTACTGTAATTTAGAATAATCATTAATTTGTAGTGATGTTAACAAGGAACTTGCTGTCACTAGATGTATATGGATATCATATGCAGATTGATTTCTCCTTTGAGACAAACGTTCGCTCGTAAAGATAGAAACAACAAAGCCTTGTGAATATGTTTTTGAAGATTTAAGAAC